AACTTCAATCTTTTCTCCGTTTATCATGATGGTATTTATTGGTCTATTGGTGAGGATTTTTACTTTCTTTACCTTGAAGTGTAACCCATATTGAAGACTGTGGTCTTTGATCTTCATCAGTAGTTATTTCAATTCTTTGCTTTTAGCAAGTTAGGTTGTATCTTTTGCATATTTCAGGTTGTTAAAGAGTCTTCCTGCAATCCAGATGTCAGGTTCTTTTCATATAATCCTTCTTCTTGGACTATTTGCTCAGCATACAGATTGAATAAGTATGGTGAAAGAATACAACCCTGATGCATACCTTTCCTGACTTTAAAACATTCAGTGTCCCATTGTTCTTTTAGAACAACTGCCTCCTGGCATTGAGCACAGTTGTTTGGGGAAAACCATTCTTTGCAATGTTATCCATAACTTGTCATGATCTACACAGTCGAAAGCATTTGCAAAGTCAGTAAAGCACAGGTAAACATCTTTCTGATATTTTCTGCTTTCAGCCAAGATTCATATAACATCAGCAAGGATATCCCTCGTTCCACATCCATGTCTGAATTTGGCTTGCACCTCTGACATTACCCTGTTGATGTTTTGATGCAGCCATTTTTTAATTACCTTCAGCAAAATTTTACTTTCATGTGATACTAATGATATTGTCTGATCATTTCTGCATTTCAATGAGTCACCTCTCTTTTGAACGGGCACAAATACAGATCTGTTCCAATCAGTTGGCCAGATAGTTGTCTACCAAAATTCTTGGCATAAATAAGTAAGTGCCTCAAGTGCTGCATCAGTGTGTTGAAAGATTTCAATTTGTATTGCATCAATTTCCAGAGCCTTGTTCTTTGTCATTGCCTTCAGTGTACCTTGGACTTCTTCCTTCAGGACCACTGGCTCTTGATCATATGCTACCTCTTGAAATGGTTGAAAGTTGACCATTTCTTTTTTTGGTACCGTGACTCTGAGTATTCCTTTCTTTTTATTTGCTACTTTCTGCATCATTCAAAATTTTGTCCATAGAATACTTCAATAATTCAAGATGAAACTTGATTTTTTTTTTTTTTCAGTTCTTTCAGCTTGAGAAATGCTGTGTGTTTTCCCCTTTTGATTTTCTAACTCCAGGTCTTGAATATTTCTTTATAATAATTGTCCTTGTCTTTTTGAGCTGCTCATTGAAATGTTCTGTTCATCTCTTTTACTTCTTTATTTTTTCCATTTGCTTTAGCATATCTATGTTATAAAGCAAGTTTCAGAGTCTATTCTGACATCCATTTGTATCTTTTCCTTTTTTCTTTATTTTTAATGCCCTTTAGCATTCTTCCTGGATGATTTTCTTGATTATTATTGCTAAGTGCTGTTGAGTCATTTCTGACTTATAGCGACCCTCTATAGGGTTTCAAAGGATCAACTGTTGAGTTCTAACAGCTAACATTGCAGTTCAAAGTGACCTTGTGGTCCAGTACTTATCCTAAAGTGTAAATAGACACTTGAGTGGGGTAGAAAGGAATGTCAGGAAACATGATTACAGAAAACTCGCAAGCCCATCTTCAGCCTATAACTAACTACAATACCTAAAAGGGGTTCTAGAACTTGCCCAGTGAAATAGGCCTCTTGCAGAACCTTTGCAGAGTATAGGACTTTAGGTGGAATCCTGAGTCCCATCCAGAACCTTCTGAGGTGGGTCATCCCAACTAGAAAGGACAAGCAGACCAGCCTGGAACAGCTAGAGTGACAGAAGATACATCTTCAAAGAAAGACCATCAGGAAAAACCCAATATGACTGGCTACTATAAGAATAAGCAAGCAAAGGACCCTAGGATCATCAAGGGAGAAGAGCACAAGAGGAATGTGAGAACTTATCCAGAGAAGCAGTGATACCAGAGATGGAGGTAGAGATGGGGACATGGAGACAGGGAGCAGCTGAGGACTCTAAGATTCATGGGAAGAGAGGGACTAAGAGCTGGAGGCCAGGAGACAGACATGCAGAATGTGCCCTTTGGTGGTATAAAGTATTATATATGCCTGAGTATTTAAAACAAACAAACAAACAAACAAAAAGAGCTAAAGTAAATAGGAAGAAACACTGTTAACTGATGGATGATACATGGAGGGGATTATCAACATTATAATGAAACAAGGTGTATGACTGGTTGATGATCTGCCCTGTAAACTTTCACTCAGTTCACAATAAAAACTTATTAGAAAGAAAGACTGTAAGCCCACCTTCAACCTATAACTGATTGTAATACCTAAAAGGGGTTCTAAAACTTGCCCAGTGAAATAGGCTTCTTGTGGAGCCTTTGTTGTATATAGGACTTTAGGTGGAATCCTGAGCCCCATTCAGAATCTTCTGAGGTGGGAAATTTCCACTTGAAAAGACAAGCAGACCAGCTTGGAGCAGCTGGAGGAACAGAAGATATTTCTTGAAAGGAAGACTAGAAGGAAAAATTAAAAACAATATCATGGCAGCGTCCCTTAAACAAATAATAAATAAGGGGGAATCTGATGCAGACCGTGCAGACACGGTCAGGAGTTCAAGGCCCTGTGGGCCCAAGCGTTGCTGACCGTCCAAACCATAGGCTCTGAGGATCAGACTTTAGCCACCTAGCAGACATAGCAAAATGTCCCTTATCTGATTATTAAGTTATGCTGCTTAGTAATTCCATACATGAGCCCTGGATACTCACAGATAAATGTAAAAACCTTCCCTAAAAGCCGAGACTGTAAATTCCAAAAAGGCAAAGTTTTTCCCAAAAAAAAAAAAAGCTAAAGAGAATAGAAACTCTGTTAACTGATGGTATGTGGAGGGGATTATAATCAATGTAATGAGACAAAGTATATGAATGTTTGAATGTGAAACCGATGATGTGCCCTGAAAACCTTCACTCAATCCACAATAAAAACCTTAAAAAAAAAACAAAAAACAATATCATTAGTCTGACTGACTACTACAAGAACAAGCAAGTTGTTCACTGGGGAGCCATCAGGGCAAACGTGCAAGTCCCCTCAGGGCAAACCCCCTTCCAAGACTGAAACTCAAAGGGAATATACTAGCAGACATGTAATCTTGCTGGTGACCTCACTGGTCTACTAATAAGAGGAAGTGGGTGAAAATCAGCAATGAAGCTGTGAGATAAGTCTGACCACGTTCAATAGATTCCTATCAACCTGGATCGCAACTTGATTGGCCAGCAGTATAGCAAGACCTGGGGTCTCCTGAGCCCAGGGACAAGGACATAGTCATAGATGACTAGAGCGGATAGTGAGGCATCCAGTTGATATGAAGTGAGGGGAGATGGGAAATGCACAAGAATGCCTATACTTGTGATAGTACCCATTTGACCCAGCTTCAATGGCTGGATGATCAGAACTCTACTAGAGGAAGAAAATAAGAGGAAAAAAGTGTAATCCACTACAATTTGATGAGCTTTACCTATACTTATGGATGTAGTAGGTAACAATTCTTTACAGCAAGTATCATTCTCACCCTCTCTGTATACAGGGTTGACAGGGATGGGCAATTTAGACATTGGATACCCAAAATGGGCAGGGCTGCAAAGGCACAAAGTGACTGGCTTACAAGCTTTCAAGAGGGAGCCTAGTTTCAGAGGGTGTGGGGGTAGGTAGACTCTCCAGTGAGTGGTTTCCAACCTGTCTGGATGGGGCTGGTAAAAGGAGATGGGGTAAGACTCTTGTGGTTCAATAGTGAATAATTGGTATCAGGACTGATTGCGATTGTTGCAGATGTAAAGGTAAACATTTTGTAACAAAAGGAGGGGAGTGATTGAACTTGCAGTCCAGGAGCAGAGGACCCTAGGACCATCAAGGGAGAAGAATGGAGTGCGGGACCCTATCCAGAGAAGCAGGGATGTTAGAGATGGAGGCACAGAAAATGACATGGAGAGACAGATTGGCTGGGGATTCTAGACTCAAGGAGGGAGAGGGGCTGTGTGCTGATAGCCAGGGGTGGGGGGTGCAAACTTGCAGGGTATACCTTTTGGTTGTTTGAGTGGTTATATATTCCTGAGTGCTTCAAAACAAAAAACAGATGGAATGACAACAAATGCTGTTGAATGATGATGTATGGAGGGGATTGTAATCATTACAATGAAATGAAATACGATAGGATGAATGTAAAGTTGATGCTTTCCCATGTAAACTATCACTCAATTCACAATAAAAACTTAAAAGAAAAAACATTGTCTTGTTTTAGAGTATTTAAGAATCCATAGACTCTAGCATCAGAATGCTGAGTTCAAGCCCTGACATGGTCATTCATAACTAATTTATCATGGCAAGTTACTAAGCCTCTATGTGCCTCAGTTTTTCTATACATAAATGGGGTAATTTTCTGATATACCTTAAAGAATTGCAATAAGGAATCTGTACCCACAAAAACAAAAATTCTATTCCTTTTTCATTTGTTGTTGTTGTTGTTGTTATTTTAAAACATTTATTTTGACAAGTTGACCCTACCACATTTTCATTAATTTGTTTACTTTTAATTAGTCATTTAATTTAGGTCTGAATGCCAAATTACCCAACTGTTGTTATTTCCAGTTCATCTGACATGCTCTTTCATTATTTATACTTTCAGATAAATAATTTAAATAATAAATTAATTCTTTGTAAAACTGAGGAATAGCATTACTATTTCTATTCATTATATTTTTTATTAATATCACATTATGTATAGAAAATACTAAGTATATGCCTATACTTAGGAAATTTACCAGAATCAGAAGGTATAGAAAAAGTTATCCAAGTGGAAAATGTACAATTAATTTAATGTAAAGATCTGACTTACACTATACTTCTTAATCACTTTTTACAACATACAATGATTGTGTAAATTCAAGTCAAATGTTTTTCTACAGTTTATAACATTGACCTTTATACAGTTAATCAGTCAACATTGATAACCTAAAAAGTATATAAGTTGAGAGAAAGGCAAAAGAAAAGACTGTTAAGGCAACATTCAAGTCAAGAACAACTAGATAGTAGCAATGGGCTTATTCAGAAGTTCTCTTTACCTCTTAATCCTCTGTCTGTTGCAGGGATCAAATACTTCCTTGATTCAGTTGAATAACAATGGTTATGAAGACATTATCATTGCCATCAACCCTCTTGTGCCAGAAGATGAGACACTAATTGAACAGATAAAGGTAAGTAAGAAATGAGAATTTAGTACTGCTTTGCTTAAATTGTAAAGAAGTCAGTAGGTAATTATCATGGCATCTTCTGAATGTTTTCAGGAAGTTTAAAAGCAATGAGCCCAATGCTGGATGAACAGTGAGAAATGGAGGTTCTAAATGGGACTTCCTTAGTTTTACAACAAGACCAAACACAAGACATAGGGCCCTAATCCTGGGATTACTATCTGATCAGATGACTGATGAAGATTTAGCATAATTAACTACCTGAAAGGTCCAATTTTCAAGTTTCCTCATTTTTTGTGCTGTTTCTTGGTTTGAGAGTACTTGTTTTTGGAAACATTAATAACTTAATCTCCTTTGATCCAAATGGAGTATTAAAATTCTGAGAACTTAGAAGGACTATTATAGGAATCCTCCTGGGAAAGTCTGTGGGAAACATTATTAGTCATCCCAGGATGACTCAGGGGGGATCATGATCATCTGAGGGGAGGGTCTCTGAAATACCTGTACAATCTAAGAGTCACAAAGACCACAAAGTCAATAGTGTACCTTGAGTTATACAATGTACAACACAAATGCAAACCATATGCAGCAAACTTACTTTTCCAATCATTACTTCAATTCAAACACCAAACACACTTTTATCACATCAGCACAGAGATAGTCATCACTTCAAGCAGAAAGTGATAACAAGTTGAAAACAAAAGATTGCTAAAGCCAAAAAATAGAAGAAGAAAGAAAGAAACAGGGAGAGGCATTTTTACAAAGTAAATAGAAAAATCTTTTCATCTGCTTTAGGCCATCCTGATGTAAACACTGATCTACTCTGGCAGCTCTCTGAAACCCTTTTCCTGACCTCCAGTCAGTGCTCTGGATTTACATTTACTGAACTCTGTTATCTGACAGATCTTATGGCTCTGAAGCCTGTGTGCTGACCTCATTTAATACACTGTTGTTGTTAAGTGCCAGTTCCAACTCACAGCAACCCTGTATAGTGTTTCCAAAGACCTGCTGGTGGGTTTGAACCTCTGACTTTTTCGTTAGTGCTTATTTGTTGTTGCTAAGTGACGTCGAGTCGGTTCCAACTCATAGCAACCCTGTATAAGGTTTTGGAGGAGCAGCTGGTGAATTTAAACTGTCAACCATGTGGTTCAAACCAACCTGAGGTCCTGCGCTTATCCTACAGCACCACACCAGGACTCAGCCTCTCTGAAAAACAGGGAAGACTTCTGATTTCCTGAAAACAAAACAAAACAAAAGTTCTATTGTTTGCTATCTTAACAAGAAGTATTATGAAAAGGAAGAACTTTGCTGGAGAAAGCAACTCTGTAGACTCCGATGCAATAGGCAAGATAAAGAGATTGACATCATATTCCAGCATACAGAATTTCTCAGTTATTAAATGACTTTGATCATATAGACTCCCATAGTGACTCTATCAATTCCCTTCCCTGGATAGCAAAATACATGGGAAAACTGTCTTACTCATCATTGTATTCTTGGGCTTCAGAACACTTAAATAAAGTGATATTATTTTTGGTGATTGGAAACCTCACTTTGACCCACTCCTACAAACTGTCTTCCTCAGTTTGCTATGTCTAAGAATGTTCTTCACTTATAAACTACTTCTTATAAACAACCATTGTATCAGCCAGTCTTATTGACAGCCTTAGTATAGAGCCTTAACAACTCATTCCTTCTTTAGGACAACCTTAAAGATAGGTAGAAATAATTCTTTTAAGATTGAGGAAACTGGTGGCCAGAGTGGTTCTATAAATCATTCAATATCTAAGAATTAGAAAATACATGTCCAGATTGCAGCCAAGTCTAGATGACTTCAAAGTCCATGCAGACTGCAGCCAAGTCAGGATGACTTCAAAGTCCATGCTCTTTCATAATGTTAAGCAATTCCTCTAATCGCAAACAGAAGATTTGTCTTCTGATGTAAAGCTATAGAAGAATGATTTATGAGCTACTAAGCTATCACTGGGGGCTGACAGGTAGCAGAGATGAAACTGTGAGGCAGAGACCCCACTCATCAGTCAGTCGCTTTTTCTGTTCACTCCTAAAATGGGAAATGTCTGTGGTCTGTGTGTGCTCATTGAGACCGCTCTCAGGTCTCCTCACATATTTCTTTCCTTTAATAATAATAGGACATGGTGACTTCAGCTTCTACTTACCTGTTTGAAGCCACAGAAAAAAGATTTTTTTTCAAAAATGTATCTATATTAATTCCTGAGAATTGGAAGGAAAACCCTCAATACAAGAGGCCAAAACATGAGAACTACAAACATGTAAGTTTCAAAATCTCTTTAAAAATTATATTTTCTAGTACTCTCCAATTTTGTTCCCAATTTATTATTTCAAATGTTTTCAGTCTAATTTATTCTTTCTGAAATTTTAACAGTCTTTTTAACCATTCTCAGGCTGATGTTTTAGTTGCACCACCAACCTTCCCAGGTAGAGATCAACCATACACCAGGCACTTTGCGGCATGTGAAGAAAAGGGAAAATACATTCATTTCACCCCTGACTTTGTACGGGGGAAAAAACAAAATGAATATGGACCAACAGGTAAGAATTTTTATTTAAAAGATGTGTTTTGTAATGTTGGTAAGAAGTAGCTTGTACCCAGGGTTAAGTGTGCAAGCTTTGGAGCCAGACTACCAAGGTTCAAATCCTGACTCCCCTAGGAACTTATAAGCTGTGTGTGACATTGAACACATGACTTCTCTGTGGTTTTCATCTGTAAAATAGTGAACATAGGAGTTCCTATCATGTAAAACTGTTATGAGCATTCAATTCAATTCTCCACTTAAATGTATTCAGTACAATATCCGGCACATTGTAAGTGACAGAAATGTATTCAGTACAATATCCGGCACATTGTAAACACAGGCAATGATAAATGTTTTGTTTTGTTTAAAGGAATACTTAGTAGTGTTTAACTTTCTAACTCTTGACAGCTGGGCATCCATCACATACTTGCTCCATGAAACATAAATGCAAGGCAGATTGGACAGAGCTTGATGCCAGTTCCTGGTCAACAGAAAAACTCACAGACTGACTGTTGCTGACATCATTCTTTAATCTCTTTGGATGAATCACATGAAATTGTCTGTAATTCTGCACGGTTGGCTTACAAAATGGCAATTTAATGTGGTTTAACCTAAAAGTTAAGACCAAGTAAACTCAAAGCATATTATTTTTCAGATAAAAATGAAAACCATTACTAAGAAGGGTCCAACTCAAATGCAATGTACTCAAAAGCCTTCCTGAATACTAATTCTCCAGAATCACCTCTTCTTCTATCATTCAATGAACATTCATACATTAAGTCTACTATCTCCACCCCCAAATCAGCTAAGCTGGTTTTCATCATTACTGCACCTATTCTACACCTCAAACTTGAAAACGCCATCATCCTAACCCTTACCACCTTACTTCTCCCTTTAATTTACCTTAACCATGTTTGTTCTTGGAGTCCTGGTGTGGTGCTGTAGAAGGATCTCTGAGCTGCTAGCCACAAGGTTAGCAATTCAAACCCACTACCAGCCACTACTTGGAAATCCTATGTTGTTGCTGTTGGTAAGTGTTGTCAAGTCGGTTCCGATTCATAGTGACCCTGTATAGAGTTTCCAAGGAGAGCTATGATCAAACTGACTTTGCAATCTAGTGCTTACCTTATAGCACCACACCCAGACTCCTGGGAACCATATACAGGGACATTATTAGTCAGAACTGACTTGATGGCTTTTAAGAATATGTTTGTTCTTCTTAGCATTTTTAGTCCTTGAGGCCAGGTTATTTTCTAAGTCTACCATTGTCTTATAACTATACTTTCTGACTATACTTTCTTTCCTATCTGACATTTCCTACCTGGCATGTCTACTCCAAGTATAAATATTCAAATTACTTAATTACCCAATCCTTATATGTCATTCAACTTGCCAAATCTGTACTGAATCATCCAGCTATTTGTTTTTCACATCTATTAATGTTTCCAAGATTGACAAACAAAATTGTAAAATTAATTGGAACGAGGAAATAAACAACACAATTAGCCAACTGGACCTCGTAGATTTATACAGAGCATTCAACCCAAAAACAGCACAATACACATTTATTTCCAGTGCATATGTAACACATTCCATAATAGACTGTGTGTTAGCCACAAAACAAACCTCCATAAATTTACAAACATCAAACTACAAAGCATCTAAGAAATCACATGGGTGATGCCACAATGCAACCAATAGAAATAAAAAAGATAATAACAGAATATTAAGAAGAGTTGTACTCCAATAAATTTGAAAACTTAAACAAGATGGATACATTTTTAGAAAAGCACAATCTACCTAAATTTATACAAAGTGAAGTAGAAAACGTGAATAGACCTATAAAAGGAAGAAATTGACCAGGTCATCAAAAACTCCCAACCAAAAAATTTCCAGGTCCAGAAGGCTTCACTGGTGAGTTTTATCAAACATTCAGGAAAGAGCTGTCACCAATTTTATTCCAAAATATAGGAGAGGATGGAAAACTCCCTAATACACTCTATGAAGCAAGCATAACCCTCATACTAAAGCCAGGGAAGGACATCACTAAGAAAGAAAATTATAGACCAGTATCTCTCATGAACACAGATGTAAAAAATTCTCAACAAAATCCTAGCCAACAGAATTCAATAACATATCAAAAAAATAATACATCATGACAAAGTGAGATTCGTACCAGGGATGCAAGGATGGTTCAACATCAGAAAAACTATCAGTATAATCCACCACATAAATAAGAAAAAGGAAAAGAACCACATGATCATATCGATTGATGCAGAAAAGGCATTTGACAAAATCCAACATCCATTCCTGATAAAAACACTCAA